ATAAATAAATAAATAAATAAATAAATAAATAAATATATAGTATAGTATATATAATCTCGTCATATGCTTGCATTGCCGTTCGGTAACTTTAATTTCTGCAATGCAAGCATATGACGACATTAATAGAAATGGATCCTTTGGTTCATGTAGTCCAGTAAATGTATTTTACTGTTTATAAACGACTGATAAGGATCATTACCGACCGAAACATATAGCATACTAAACATCTTAATAAACTAACTGATTTTATCGATATTCGAGTCTATCTGTTATTCATTAGAAGTGTAGAATTGTGATCTGTTTATCCATGTCTTTACAGCCCTTTGTTGGATCTTGGCCGCTTTTTCAGTTTCTTGATCTTTTTACACAGCCGGTAGGACTCCTTGGACGGGGGATCAGCCTGCCACAAAGCCGTAACCTCCACACAAAACAACACAAATACAGAACAAACTCACACGGACATTCATACCTCGAGTGGTATTCTAACCCAAGATCCCAGTGTTCAAGCTGGCGCAGACAGTTCATGTCTTAGACTGGGCAGCCACTGTGATCGGCTAGAATTGTTGTGATGGACAAATTTACAGAATAGACAAAAAAAGCCGGTACGACTATATAAATTTATATATACGTATGTACTATACAATACACAATATACAATATACTATACTATCTTATACAAGAAAACGTGGCTGTATACATCCACTCCCCATACGTCTTCATGGCTTAGTGCTTAGTTAAGCACAGGGACAACTTTACCTTTACTTTCACAATAGAAGATAGTCCACTTCATATTTACCGCCGTCAGGACTTCATCAATGTTACCATTCCATTCCAGGTTTTAACAAAATATTCTAAAGAATAACCTTATCAAATATTACGACAACTGATGACAGAGACACACTTTTTAACCAATTCGCCTACCAAAACAATGCAACCAGCAAGTGTAGCCCCCTATCGGAATAGTGTGTTGTAATCTCATGCAACGCCATTGTCATTCTATTATAATGTTGAGAAGTGTATGAACATATGATAAAGGGCAACTATGTTAATATGGAGTAATGAAATTTGTTTTCGGCAGCACGCCGGCCAACATGGTGCTTCCCCCTCCTACTAAGGACATACTGGAACGTGTCAGGGCCGAATTCGGGCTGGATGAGGAAGGGATGAAGCAGGCGATCCAGGTCGTTAAGGACTGGCTCAAGCAGCAGCCTCACCTGCCTCAGGACTGCGGTAAGTGGCGGCTGCCTGTAACACTGCGGACACGTGGTGGCGTGGGGCACTATGCTACAAGCCGAAAGGGATCGAATCCCGATGAGGTCATTGAATTTTTTCAATTGCCCTAAGCCTTCCTGCCGCACTATGGCCCTGGGGTCGACTCAGCCTCTTAACAGAAATGAGTACCAGGAATATTCTTGGGGGTAAAGTGAGGCCGGCGCGTAGGGCTGACAACCTTGCCGCCATCTATGAGCCGATTTTCTAGGAAATGTGGGAACTTCAACATCTCACAACCCTATGGGCCTCCAAGGCCTGTTACAGAGATCCTTTATTGTTTTTTTACTTTACCTGTAGTAATGTTACACAAAATTGTTGAGACGACAAACAAACACAACGCAGCCATGTAACATTTACATTACTATGTTTATGTCTGCACAGAAGATGGGAGGCTGGAAAGGTGGATCATCCGCTGCAAGAACAGCCTGGAGAGAACGAAAAAGTCTCTGGACCTGTACTACACTCTGAAGACAGCAATACCGGACATACTTCTGGACAGGGATCCCCGCAGCCAGTGGTTCAGGAAGGTTGTCAATGTGGCGTAAGATTTTGCTGAATTAAATGAAAAATAATTTGATTTTCAGAATAAGTAATCCTTGTTGAGCATTCTCTTAACGTGCAGGATTCATCTCGTGAGACGCGAGAGTACATAGAATATCTGCCGTAGATGGAACTGGTATGGACTTTGTAGACGAGAAGAGTTACTTCTACCTAAGAGAGAGGAATGGGCCGGTCACGGTAGCCGAGCGGTCTAAGGCATGCACTGTCTTCGCTCGCTCGGAAGCCGGGATCGTGGGTTCGAATCTGTTTCCTGTGAGGTACGAACTGAATTCTTATATATTATTCTTATACACTGCCGGTCACGGTAGCCGAGCGGTCTAAGGCATGCACTGTCTTCGCTCGCTCGGAAGCCGGGATCGTGGGTTCGAATCCCATTCAGGGCATGGATGTTTGTGTGCGTTTTTCTGTGTTTGTCTATAGGTAGAGGCCTTGCGACGAGCTGATCACTCGCCCAAGGAGTCCTACCATATGTGTAAGATCTAGAAAAACCGAAGTGAACGTAGTTCATGGAGGTAGGCCTAAGCCCACTGGGGCTGTAGTGCCAAGGAAAAAGAAAAAGAGAGAGGAATAAGTCTCGTATTTGATAAACGTTTGTGGCGCTTCTTAGTGAACCACTGATTAGTCGTGTGACTGTGTGGAAATAGCTCCATTTTGACCGATGATTCGTTAAAACGCGCAAGCGCCAGTAAGCTTCATCAGCTTCCGTGTTCAAGCCACTACTGGCCGGCGACTGTCTTCTATTTAACTGATGGCTGCCATCTCGCACCAACCTCACGCTCTTCTGTTCAATTGCAATTAACAAAACACTAGGTTTGTCTTGCTTATAGCACCTACCGCACAGAAAACACCGCTTCCAACATTTTTTCTATTTTTGGGTCACGCAGCTGTCGTACGGACCGCGTAGAGAACATACCTTCCGAATTAGTCCAGTGGTGCATGTTGGGAATCTGTTGCCTAGCAACGCGTGTTGTTTACAGAGTCATCACCTAGCAACGGGTCTACATGCTGTAATATAGTTATTGAGTCAATAACTCTGCGAGACTTTCAGTTACTTAATTCATTTGTTGGTCGTTTAATAAGTCAGACTAACTAATAAACTTCGTGGAACTGATCGCTTCTTGAGAAGACACTTATTCTGCAGCTACTCAAGAACTTCCCACCATTTTATGGAACCTGAAAATGTATTTCCGTTTTCACAAAAGCCCTCCAATTGTTCGTATCCTGAGCCTGATCTATGCAATCCATACCATCATATCCTACCTCTCTAAGAACCATTTCAATATTGTCCACCCATCTACTTTTGGGTTTCCTAGTTCTCTCTTTCCTTCTGGCTTTCACGCCAATATCCTACATGCATTCCTCTTCTCCCCTATTTAGTAAATCAAACACTCATTTAAATCATTGCCTAATTAGTTAATTATTTAATCAGTTAATTAACCGGAAATTTAATCATGTGATTATTAACTACACTGACCCAATTAGACCAGAAGCCTGAATCAAACAATAAAATGTAGCCTCAACTGAATGATTGCAGTTTCGTGTGTCCTCTGTCACAATTAACGGAAGACTACAACAGGGTAACGGTGCTGGGCTGCCTGGAACCCGATCCGAACAAGATCATCGTACAGGACATTCTGAAACTCAGCTTCATGGTGCAGGATGTCAGGATGTGTGAGGACTATTGCATCTCCGACGTCTACATCATGGACTTCAACAAGTTCTCAGTGGGTCATGTCACCAAAGTCACGTTGCCCATTTTGAAGAAGATGGAAGTTTGTGCAATGGTACGTCATCACAATCCGACAACTTTAGAACTTAAGATTACGATCTTCTGTAAAGTTAAACCATTTAGTTAAGGGTACAAGAAGATTCCATCGAAACACTGTCCATTTGAGTAAGACTGAAGATGTTCTTTATGGTCCGACAGCCTTGTAACAGAAGTGTAGTGCCTTCTGGAATGTGAAGATATGTAGTTTGGTAGATAGATACAAACGTTTCGTAGGAATCTGCTTCCTCCATATTCAGGGTGAAAGATTCTTGGAAGGAGAAAGTGATTTTTTACTTTTTCACAGCGTCCTGACCTCCTAGCCAGTGGGGACATAGGGCTGTTTCTCGGGTCACAGATCGTAGAACGTGAAGCTCACTACCTTTCTCCAATAAGTGTCAAGTTTTAGAATGTGTGGAACTATAATTCCACTTCCTCACTTCATGTGCGATGTTTAATTAATTAATAATGCCGTCTTTGGGGATGTGGTGCCGTGTAGGTCTTGTGCGAAACGTCGGTTCACACAAGATCTACACGGCGTCACATCCCAAAAGACGGCATTTTTCATAGTCACCGCCGTGAAAACCTCAAGTCTTACATAATAAATTAAGATTATAGACAACTTTGCCTTCACCTTGTTATTGTTACATTGAAGTTTTCACCACAATGAAAACTTGCCAGCAGGTCTATAATCTTGCAACAGAAAAAAATTATGTTATTTCGTGTGAATTAGGCAACAAAAAGAATTCACTGTTTTCTTTAATAAACACAGTAGTTTCCCATGTCTAGGTTAAACTGTAATACTGCACTGAATGTCACTGCACAAAGTGAATATACAGAATTGCCCAAACAAAACAAACTCTGTGGCTTGTGGTCCGCAAGCGAACTATACCGACCGAGCGACCGTCGATGGTCGGCGAAGTTAGTGCCAATTTTAGTGGATAGAGAGGGTTGCGTGGTCAGCGCAACGAATCCCCACAGACGTTAATTACGGTTTTCTAGACCGGAGCCGCTATTTCCTTGAAATAGCTCCTCAGTTATTCTCACGAGACCGAGTGGACCCCGTTCCAGGCCCACTACTACTCAGAAAATCTGGTAGCACCGGGAATCGAATCCGAACCTCTGATCTGTAGCCAGGAACTGTGACCACTAGACCACAGAGGCGGCCTGAATGATCCAAACAGTTAACCTAAATAATTCATTCGTATTAACGGGAGTGCCCTGATTTAGAACAACCTGTCAATTTGCAGAACGGCTTCACAGCGCAGTGACTTGCGCATTCGCCATGGAGGATCTCATTTCGAACAATTTCTGTAAGTAATAAAGAAATCTTTGATTTCAGTGTACATTTTACTTAACCGTTAACAGACTTTGGGCAACTTTGTGTATACTGCCATTAGAACAAACCACTTGTAAGAGGATGTTGTCTGTCACACATCCGTACCTCGATCATAAATGTAAGGTAAAGTTATCCCTAGGCCGTGCCACAACTCAACCGGTTAGTCGCTGGTTTCCCACCGCGGCGGTGGGATTTGTGGTGGACAAAGTGGCGCTGGGGCAGGTTTTCTCCGAGTATTTCGGTTTCCCCTGCCAATCTTCATTCCACCAATTGCTCCACAATCACCCTCACCTATCATCTGGGGCTGGTACAATAGGCCAGAAGTGGCCGCAGTACTAGGGACTTAGTCCCACCCCACTAGCAATAAAAAAAATTTTATCCCTGTACTTAACCAAGTAAGCATTACGTCATGAAGGCGTATAGGGGAGTGGATGCATTAATCCACGTTTTCTTGACCTCGGCAATGGTTGGAGGTGTGTGGTTAGCTTCACGCCGCCCCTGCGGCTTTACCCCCGGGGAAAGAGCCCCCGGTATCCATTGGATAGGAGGTTGGGTGGACCCCAAAGCCGGTCCGAACGACTTGGAGAAGTGAAAATTCTTGATCCCACCGGGACTCGAACTCCCAACCCTCGTTCTTCAAGCCAGTAGCCAGTAGCTATACCGACTGCGCTGTCCCTGTTCACGGTTCCCTGATCATTCATATATTTATCTCACTCAGTTATATGATTACGGTTAGCCGTCGTCACAACAAATGGATTATAATGACTCAGTATTTTGCAGAGAGAAATTTATTTCGTGGTACATGTTTCGGTCCTCATGCGACCATCATCAGGCAGTGATATAGGAATACGTATACGCTCACTGAACTCCTGACCGTCAGTCTCACTTTGACTTTTTTGAGTCAGTTGGGTTCGAGAATCCACCCTGTCAAGGTATGAGGTACGGAGTTGCGGAACTGAAGGAGATGTCAGTCGGTGACTATTAAGATAAAATGGCAAGGAAAGAATTAGGCTGTGCAAAGAAAAAAGAATGTTTGTGTGATTTGAAGTGACAGTGCGACTATTATAAATCCGTTGCCAGGATACAGCTAGTGGAGACTGAGAACCTTAGTGTGTGTACAGCAGTGAACTGTAAATTGCACAGATTAGCGATAACGCTGTGTTAGTTGTAATTACGAGTTGAGGGTATAAGGTGTCAATAAATCCAATCATCGAAACGAAACCCCGTCAATAAGTCACACACAACCGCTACACATGACAATATTTAATCATCAAAATGTGTTAAATGCCAATATTTCTTTTTCTTTTGCAGGGCGCTTTTTTTTCCTATAGGACGCAAGGCAAAAAAATATTTAGATGGTAGAGAAAACTAAAATTATACAACTTAATTAAAACTGCACGCAAATGACCAATCGGGAAAGCTTGTTGTCTCTCGGTTAATCAAAAAACCTCTTGCATTTTAAGAAACCCTGGGTTCATTACTCTGTTCACAAAATACCAACTTTGGATCCTACCTTGAACCAGATAAACCCAGCGCGTACCCCACATCCTCCTGCTTTTACAAACGCTTTAACATACTCCCATCCACTACTAGGTTTTTCAAGTGTTTCAGATTCTCAGGCTAAAATTTTCTGTAAACTTCCCATGAATTGTGTATTTCCTGCATATTCTGTAGGTTTTGATTTAATTACCCTACCAAATGTTAGGGGATTATAACGAGTTATGCAGCCCTTCGCAAGTAATTTTCTCCATCCATTGTATCTTTTCCTTTTACAGAAAAGCTTCAACATGAGAATCAAGGAGATCCATCTAGTTAACGTACCTCCATTTGCTGATACTATGGTAAACCTTCTGAAGATGGTTCTAAAACCGAAGCTTATTTCCAGGGTGAGTGGAACAGTTCTTAATTGGGAAGTGTATTATGTTCTGGGGCTTGACGCCGTGTAGTCTGTTAGAAGTCTGTCGATGTTTCGGAGGAAACTTTGCGGTCGATCAGTAAGTCACACAAGCAACCAGTTGCATTGTTTTTACTGGGTTTTGTTTCGATTATTCTTGGAACTTAATGACGGAGGAATTAAGTCACTCTGAAGAAAATCGGTATACTTTTATCAGAATAAGCTGCCTTACATCCCAGAAGACAGTACCCTCCGTAATCATTGCTGTGAGGATGTCCAGCATACATGGTTGAGATTTGAGCAACGAGAGTTAACAGGGGTCAAGTGATGAATTGCAACATTCATAATGCGAACAAGGTCACACTCATATCTGCGTGACAGATGATAATATCTCTGGAATGCTGTCACGTTAAGGAATACACTTCATGCAAATATAACACAAAATTATATTTTTATATTGTAGCAACCTGTTGCACTTTTTACTTAGTGTCAATTAGATTTTGGAATCACACGTGCAACTCTAATGTTCTCTAAGACACGCAACACAAGACACAATAAGAGAGAACACAACCCACCAATTTAAACACGCATGCGCATCGTGGGAACCTATATATTAACAACACAAGCAACAACAGGAGACAACAATTTCTTCGCCCAGTAATAATTTTAATACCTTATGATGATGATCACAATGGTCGAAACATATAGTGAAAAAATTTTCAACTTTTAATAAATCTTACAGAATAGTGACATTGTAAGAAACTAATAGACACAAAATTATATATCTATATATAGAAATCATGAAAAGGTCAATTTCATCTGATCAGTATTCCTTTTTATGTAACATAAAGGCGGAAATTGTGTCTTAAATTCTGTAGCCGTTTAACTCACGAAAGAACGTATATTAATATATAGTAATACATTACTTTGAATAATAATTCAGCGTAATTTTTATTTATTTGAGTCACTGGGCACTTACACTCAGTACAAATATTGTGACGCCTAAAAATGCTAGGCAACGGCTCGGTAAACATTTTCCCGAATCTAGCTCTCAAAAGTAGGATATACATTGCTAGGTAACGGACCAATGAACAGGCATTCTCGGTAACACGTGACGTATTTTCCGTGGGGTCCATCCCGACGAAATATAAGAGGGCACATAACGAGAGTACAACACAGACTATGAGAATAGAAGGAGTACAATGCAGAAGAACAAGAATGGAGCGTGTCCCAGTGATTTGTGAAATGGGTAGATTAGTTACAGCGCTATAATTGATTGTGACTGAGAAAGATTCTAAACTAAAATGTCAATAAATCCAAGCACTGAATCCAGAACCCATTACTATTAGTCACGGAACCCCGGACACGTGACAATATACAAAAATGTAAAATATATAATAAGATAAACACAAGAACAAATTAAAAAGTCAGACTGGATCTCCACAGCTTCATTTCTTGAACGCTTTGGCCTGCTCAACAATTTCCTTCCAACTACTGTCCTGTATGTGAGTTGTCCAGTTATAAATTCCTAAGTCCTTTATATCTTCCCTTACGTCACCTTTCCATCTGATCTTAGGTCTGCCTCTCTTTCTTACAGCGTGTGGCTGCCAGTCATATATGCTTTTAACTGTTCGTCCAGCCTCCATCCTTGAGATGTGTCCAAGCCAACTTACTCTTTGGGCTTTGATGAAGTTACCTATGTTCCTTCCTTTTATTAGATTGTCTAGTTTATCATTGGTTTTAATTCTCCAGGAGTCATCATGGTTTCTTGATGGCCTGGACATCTTTCTTGGATTTCTGAAGCTTATTTGCATTTCAATAATATTTTTAGAATTATCCAGATTATATCATCATCATCATCAGTAATCTGTCAAGACGACAGGTCCACAGTCTCTTCCAAAACAGTTCCTTCACTTAATGCAATCTAGAGCTTTTTCCTTCAAATGACAGTATCCTCTTGTGTCCACAAGGTCATCCANGAAGCTTTCCAGATGTTTCTGATCTACTGGCCTAAGTGTCCATGTTTCAGCCCCATACAGAGCTATGCTCCAAATGTAGCATTTCACTAGTTTCTTCCTCAAATTTAGGTCCAATTTGCTGGTAAAAAGATTCTTCTTCTTGCTAAATGCAGCTTTTGCCATGGCAATCCTGGATTAAATCCAGATTATATATATTATATAAATTTAATTAGCAGCAGAAGCTCATGTAACCGAAGGAAATTTACTGGAGGAGCAAAACTGAACACAGAAAAACTACGCAGGTTCAGAGTAGGAAAATGACTACCGACTGTTTCATGAACCGAGTGACAGAATTTAGCGTCACTATAAACATTTATTATAAACAAAGTACGAGAGTGACAACGCCAGCTATGTGGTATCTGCAAATATAATTTTGCGCTTCTGTGGTCTAGAGCTCAAATTCCTGGCTACAAATCCATAGGTCCCGGGTTCGATTCCCGGCGCTACCAGATTTTCTGAGAAGTAGTGTGTCTGTAACGGGGTCAATTCAGCCTCTTGAGGATCATTGAGGAGCTATTTCAAGGAAATTGTGGCTCCAGTCTAGAAAACCGAGATTAACGGCAGTGGGGATTCGTTGCGCTGACCACGCGACACTCTCTATCCGCTAAAGTTGGCACTAACTTCGCCGACAAACGGCGGTCGCTCAGTCGGTATAGTTCACTTGCGGACTACAGGCCACGGAGTTTGTGTCTTAGTGATACTTAGCATCTTGAAAAATCTACTCCGGAAAAAGTCTGTAAATTTCCTTTATGCGCACTGAAGTTTATCGGTTTCAGTAATCGTAACAAAGTTCCAAGCAACAGAAGCAAAATGAAGATTCGGCCTTAGTTTTTTTAAGTTTCTTGGGGTGAAGAGAGATGGAGACTTCTTGGTACGTAGGCGACTAATTGGCCTATTGTACCAGCCTCAGATGATACATGATGAATTCGGAGCAGTCGGTGGAATGAAAATTGGCAAGGGAAACCGACGTACTCGGGAAAAAAAACTGCCTCAGTGACACTTGGTCCACCACAAATCCCACACGACCTGACATAAGCTCGAACCCGGGCCGCCGCTGTGGGAAACCGGCGACTAACCGCCGGAGCTATGACACGGGCAATCTTCGATTTTACCAAAGAAAAATGGAGAATCAACAGGCTTCCCATGGTAAAAAAATCAATGTGTGTAAAGAGATTATAAAGGAAATCAACACCCACTCACTTAACTCACTCACGGAGCTGAGCCCTTCTTGAGAAGCCGCCAATTCTGCAGCTACTCAAGAACTTCTCAGCATTTTATGGAACCCGAAGGTTCAGTACCGTGTTCATAAAAGCCCTCCACTAGTCCCTATCCTGAGCCAGATCAATCTAATCCATGCCATCTCATCTTATATCTCTAAGATCCACTTTAATGTATTTCTTTGGCTGATCTTGGACTTCATCCATCGTCTAGTATGTAAAAGACTGATCCAGTGATTGAGACTAGGTCTTTGTAACGGACCCAACTGAGTAGGTTTATCCTTCCCCACCCACCTGAAGACGGAGACAGATCCAGTCTCCGAAACGTCGTGGTCTTTTGTCTGTTACATACCAGACGATGGGTGAAGTCCAAAAGAAGCCAAAAGAAGTACAGTATACACCATCGTCAGAATCCTCTCAAGTCCATCTATTTTAATGTTGTTCACCCACCTCCGACTTGGTATTCCCAGTGGTGTTTTTCCATTTAGCTATCCCACAAATATCCTATATGCATTCCTCTTCTCCACCAATCGTGCTACATGCCCTGCCAATCTCATTCTACTTAACTTGATCATTCTAATTATACTTGGAGAAGAGTGCATGTTATGAAGTTCCTCATTATGAATTTTTCTCCAACCTCCTGTCACTTCATCTCTTCAATCCAAATATTCTCCTCAACACCCTGTTCTCAAACACCCTCAGCCTATGTCCCTCCCTTAATGTCAGAGACCAAGTTTCACACCCATATTTTTGTATTTATGCTAGAATAATGTATAAGGTAGGTTCCCTCAGGGCAATGGCGGAAGAAACCTCAAGAAAATCAACATGATGAAAATTAAGTTTGCAGTTAGTGTACGAATCCAGATTCCCAATTAAATCACTTCACAACATATGAACATTTCCAAGATTATGCTGAGACGTTAACACGTTCGTTTTCTTTGTGAAAACAATTCTGAGCTTCGTTAAACCAGCTGAACCCCCTCATGTAAAAGTAAAAAAGTAAAAAAAGTAAAGGTATCCTTGTAACAGGCCGTGGAGGCCCACAGGGCTGTGAGACGTTGAGGCTCCCACATTTTCTAGACAATCGGCTCACAGATGGCGGCAAGGTTGTCAGCCTTACGCGCCGGCCGCGCTTTACTCCCCAGGAAAATTATTTCATTAATTCCTGGTACTCATTTCTGTTAGAGGCTGAGTCGACCCCAGGGCCGTAGTGCGGCTGGAAGGATTAGGTCAACTGAAAAAAATTCATGACCTCATCGGGACTTGAGCCCGCGACCTCCCTGCTTGAAGCATAGTGCCTCAACCAACTACGCTACCGCGTCACAACAAAATCATTGTCTGAACGTAAATGTAAAACGCAATAGGTACTTTAACAGCTCGACACAATTTAAGGTCATCAAAAAAAAAAAAGTAATTAATAACATGTAAAATGCACTTTATCTGACTTGAGGTGCGCCGGACTGCACGGCAAGGGCGAGGGAAATGCACCAGACAACGTACACAAGGCTGCCATTCAGATAAATAATTAAAAAACCAGTTCGATTGACTCCAAGACATTCCATAGTCACTGTAAACAAATTTAATAAATTCTCAAAAAATAAAAAATAAATTGAATTTATCATACATGGTCATATATCTTACACTTTAAAATGTAATTTCAAATTTTCCCAAAACGGTGTTATGAAATCGAAATCCGCTGTTACTAATTTAGTCACTTTACTTGCCCATGTCACACTTTTAGTTTATTCGCAAGGTCA